TGCCGTGGCTCATCCCTCGCCATCAGACCACCACCACATATGACAGCCGTAGAAAATCCCATTCCATCTGTATCAGTTTGATCAACCTTGTCGACCTCCCCTTCAGGGTCTTTCAGGCTTTTATTCCCTGAACTCGGAAGACCCGCTTAATTTTCCTTGAAATGCTTTCTTTCTTGTTGAAAATGCTGCGGGGGACATTCCACCACGCCTTCAATTCCCACTGGTCCATCAAGAAAAAAAAAGAAAGAAGCATTTCGATGGAACTCAACGGATGTCTTCATTTTCCAGATTTTTTTTTCGAATGAAAAATTAATAACGAAAAGCAGCAAATCATGCACTCGTCAAGTCACTCACTGCCGTATGCTTTAGTCTCGTTATCATCTGCACCGGTTTCCATAAAAGGAACCTATTATTGCGAACGTAATAATAATAATGATCGTGCATCACAAAACGCTCGCGTTTCCCTATTGTCTCTTAGTCGTTCTGTGCACCGAGTTTCCGCTTTTTTTTTCTTAACGTTTGTGTCCTCCTAGCTCATCGGATAAAAATTCGGTTTTAAAAGACGTTTTAAAAGCTTTTCTTTTCTTCTTAAATGAATCTTGACCTCGTTGTGCTGATCGCCCCGCAGAGAATACGCATAAGAAAAAGAGGAAGGATTTTATGTCCATAATTTTACTGCTCAAAAGTTATTTGGTCGTGGATGGTGGAACCGTGGTCAAATTTGAGTGACTTTTAGGCGCACACGATTGACGTGGGCACTATATTGAATAGCCTCTATATACAAAGAACAAACGAGTATCGTCGTCGTGAAGGTCAAGGAAAAGATGACGTTAAAGCCCGGAATGACGTCGACAGATGTAGCACAGTAAAGTATATAAAACTCGCCTCTTCGTCATGTTGCTTATTATGTAACTTATGATTGCATGCTGTTCATGCTGCTTGTGAACTATACGGTACTGTTCATCAATAATAAAATAGCTGACGGAAAATGTACGTGTCCTCCAACCTCGAAACTTGGCTTATACTTACAGTGATACATTCGTCCATATACGCAGTACCATAAATGAATCCGGATTCACAGATATGCACTTTTTTCTCCTCTTTTATATATATTTTAAAATGTGATTTTCATTGCGGAAAGCATTCCATGATCCAATGTATCATCTCATCCACCCCTACCTTCAAGAAAGAAACTCTGTAGTACTGCTCAGGTCAATGCATCAGCAGTAAGCAATGCTACCAAATGCTGGAAATACTGTGAGACCCCAAGATGGGGATGTAATTGGTGCATCTTCAAGAGTGTCCCTAAGCTGAAATGTCCCTACATCAAGTCTTATTTTCCCTTACGCTTACATTATACACTTTTTCATTGGTGTTTTATGGACAAAATACTCACTGTAATTCTAAGAAAATGAACATTGTCTCCGATTTGAAATTGATTCAATCAAAATATTTCAACAAAATATGGACATTTTGGGAATTGAATACTGATACCTCTGTACAGCATATATAAATGTTGGCATTCTCTGTAAAAATAACATTCAAGTGAAAAAGAGAGAAGGAAGTCCCTCTATAGGCTGGAGGTAATTTTTTTTAATTAGCTAAATGAATGGTAAATTGGTGAGAGAAATGCTTAAGAACTTTTCTTGCATCAATTTTTGGGTTGGAAATATCTGTTTCTCGTTATTTGGGCCTGAAACCAATTTACAATTTTATCACAAAATGGCCCAATGTTGAGTCAGTGTCCTCATGTTGGGCCTTTTTTATTAATTTTTCATAGGAAAATAAGTGTCCCTATGTTTAATTATTTGCATGACAAGGTGTCCGCATGTGAGGGGTCTATCTGTAATGCCTGCTGATGTGCGAGATTCTTCATTCTGCCTAACTTACTCCTTCCATGATGATCAGTAATTTATCAGAACAAGAAACAGGAAAGTGGCCCCGCCTAACAGACGTCCCGCGGAAGGGATTTTTTCGCCTAACAAACCAGCCCTGCAGACAGTTTTGCCTTCCCCCAACAGACAAAATCCGCCAAATAACAGACTTGTGTTGGTTCAAAATTAGTACTGTATTGACAGTTAAAAGTTTCAATTTTTTCAAGACAGTTAAATTTGTTTAAAGGAATTGAATTTGTCTAACAGACTTGTTTGTCGCACGAATGGAGTCCGTTAGGTGGGGGGTTGACTACTGCATATACGTTTGCAGTGCGATTTTCAACACTACTGGTGAATGATTTCCGGACAAACGAGCTGCGTATATAGTGGATGGTTTTTCGCCAATATAATAGTGCTCGCCGATCCAGTTGCTGTTGCCGCAGAAAGTACAGTACAGTAGTTGCAGTGGGTATCATTTAAGAGTATGCATCAGTGCTCGTGAGATGATGCTATGACGGCAATCACGTATCAGGGAATTAGCTTTGCGCAGTACGGAACATATTACGTTATAACTTAACATACCTTATTATAGCGGGGCGTGGATTATTATTCCGCGGTATACGCGATAATGATGCCAAACTACCGCATGCTGCGCGGAAAATTTCCCTGATTTCTTGCACAGGAATCAAGCAGCAAGGACACCATGTGGGTGACCATATAATAGACAGTGACCATCAGCACCATAATCAGACAGACAGGACATCACACCACGGACACTGCTTCCCAGTGCTGCTGCGTTTTGAATGTACTGTACATCAGTACCACCACAGATATATTTATGTTTCATATATACACAGTCTGTACTCCAGTAGGAATGCATGCATGCTGGGAAGATCGGGATTCATGTACTGTATATGGGCGGAAGCCAGCAGCATGCTGTACAGTGTATATATTAGTCATCCAAGGCTGTTTCATTTGGAATAAAGGACGTTTAGTACAATACAGTACAGTACGTTCATCATATTACAGTACATCACATGATGGAGGTATAGAAACCTTGAGGGAATATTGTCACGTGCGTGAATTCCTGGCAAGAATTTCCCAGTGATTGTGGTTGAGGTTTAAAAAACAGAGAGGGAGAAAAAGGATGAAATAAAATTTAAAAAAAAACCACATCATCATAGGATAGGCATGAGGATCTGAATTGGACACACACACACACATATATATATCTATCCAGGACCTTGTTTTCGCCTGATTATATGCTGTGATGAAACTCGCGTCACGATTGATACATGCAGAATACACAGATGTCCATGCTACAGAGTTGTGCATTATTATCATGCTGCATGTCCTGTATATATAGTGCTGAAATCATGTCGTGATAAATGATGACGACGGAGGGCGAATAATGACGAGACAGATGAAGTTGTTACGTTGAGTGGGAAGGAACACAGCATGAGGAATCAATTATAGCTAGCAGATATATATGAGGTGATACAATTCACATCGGGGAATGTTTCGTTACATGTACCAGCAGCAGACGATGATGAGATGGGACGAAAGTCAACGTGATTATATAGCAGGAGCAACGAGGACATTGCAATACTGTGCTTCTATCAGTCACTGTATTATTATTTGCAGAGGCAATCGAAGAGTTGTAATGTGCTGCACGGGTGTGTGGTCCTATACCTACCCTTTCACAGTGCATGCTGTATATGCAATTAAAGGCGGTACTCGTCTTCAACTGAGAGATGCATTCATTCATGCTGCTTTGAGAAGATGGCAGCAATTATTCATTCGGAAAGTGCATCCAAGTTGGATCGACTTTTTTTTCTTTTCTTTTTTAAAGCAATATACCAGCAATAACTACCGATAGCAGACTCATTTTCTACAAGTTCCCCGTTTCGTCGAGCACCCTCAAAATATTCCTGATGGTGACGGTGGTGCTGGTCAGTGGCCTGTACTGTAGTGTATACAGTAGTAAATACAGTACATACGTATCTGTATGAAAGCCACGCCCGAACATTCCTGCTTGTCGTCGTTTCGATGATGATGACAGCAATGAGAAAAGTGCCGACGATCGAGGAACTGGTTTCCAATCCTTGAGATTCCTGCTTCTGTCCCGCCTTAAATGTTTTTTTGTTTCCTTCTCCTCTTTTTTTATCAAATTCAGAAAAAGCAAGTTGAATATGTCTAGTCCATGTAGATTTTGTTGTTCTTCTCAAAAGCAGCGCCTCGAAAACTTTTATCGAAATGGGTACCATTCATTTAAAACTTGGTTTGAATTATATTGGGAAATTTGATGGGACTGATTATTTCTCATTCAACGAGAAATAATAAGCTGCACTTGTAATCCCCCACCCGACTTTCAAACACGTACGCCAAAAGCAATGCAATCCAGCTTAAGGTATCTATACTGTGACGATTTTCTATAAGAAAACTGAAATGAGACTTTCTCCGCATCTCACGATATAAGGGGATATATAAAAGGCCCCTCGTTTAGCAAATAAAATGTAAAATGACTCGATCGATGAATATCAAAACGTTGTATATACAGTATTATTCCGTACGTATTGCACGTACTTTAATGCTTTTTCCTTTTCTGCATTCATAATTCGATTTTGAATAGACATCAAAACGACAGAACGATTTCTTGAGAAATATTGACTTGAGAAACTAGAAAGAGTGCTCATCGTAGTCCAACTCATGCGTGAAACTAAGCCGAGTAAGGATACAGCAATGATACAAATGCTGCTGCACTCGATGTATGCACGAAATCCCAGTTGTTGAAGATTAAATTATCAATTCCGGCCGACAAAAGATCAATTCGTAGTTATTGCTTAAAAATCAAGTAGCTATATAAAATTGAATGTCATGTATGTACAGTACATGAAAGCGTTTACATCGTCCGAACACTGAAAGCTTATTTTTACTGATCCTGCTTTTTTTTTCTTTCTACTTTTCAATCTTCATCTGATTCACTCATCCTACGAATAATTCGTGGAAGGTCTGACTCTGAATTTTGTTCTGCATCATCGTCGATATAAGAATGAGCTCCCTTGAATGAGGATTGATGAAAATACGGAATGAAAATTGATAGAGAAAATAGGAAGTAACGATGATATGAGGACGGATGTGGTATACGTGATGAGAGGGGAGTGTCTTCGTCGTCGTTCATCGTTCGCTCGTCGTCGAGGCGGAATCACGCGCACGCTCATCGACGACGACGATGACGACGATCGACGTGCAGGCTGATGCATGGACGACGATGAACCGGGTTCGGCTCCTGCATTCCTGTCGCGTCGTCACGCGCGACCTTCCTTCCTTCCTCCCTTCCCTGCATTACATTCTCCTTGGACACCAGGATTTCATAATAGTCATCCTCATGCTCCAAAAAATGAATGGATGAATGAATGAATGGCAGCAGGTTTAAAAAAAATAATAGAGAGAGAAAAGGAAGGCCTTGTCGAGCAGGAGCAGCAGCAGTCACACCCTACATAGCTTGGTGTATTTTTGTGACTCGTAAAATTTTAGTCCTGCTGCTGATGGCGGATATATGTCAAGCATGCATTCATGCACGCGTGTCACCAGCAGCAGCAGGAATCGAAATTCCGTCAACTTATTCTCGGCAGGCATGCTAAGGGGTCTATATATACAGTATAATGTATAAGTAAAATACCAAAATGTCTCATCGTCGTCCTCGATCGAGGATCGCGGACTTTTGGGCGAGGCTCCCGAAACCCTGAACCAAAGAAGCCGCGATGATGATTCCCAGCATAGAGCACAAGGTCGTTCGCCTGATTGATTTATGTGCAGTATGTGCCTCTTCGTATCAATATATACAGTACTACTGTATTGCTGAGGGTGGGACAGGGGACAATAAACGAGGAAACAAAACAGCTTTCATCTCTACCGATCATCGACATACAGTATACTGTATATATATTTATCCGCATCATGCAACAATAGATATGTATTTCTCTACACTCCTTGAATTTACTGAACAGCACTAAATCGTTTTCTCCGATATACGCAAGTTTTTATTTCCCCCTTTGGTAATACTGCATTTCAACATCTTTTGTCAACTTCAAGTGGAGGATTCCATATTCAGCATTACAGTATTGCTCTTTGGCTTGAAAGGTTCTTCTCTATTTTTTTGTCTGTTTGGCGGTTTTTTGCTTTACAGTTCCCCCTCTATATATTGTTGAATCTGCTTTTCAAGTTTTCCCGACTCATCATTCTTCTGCAGCTGCTGCATACTGTACTGTATACAGGATCCGTGTTTAAAAATAGAAAAATACTGGTTAATGCAGAGTGAGGGATATGTGAAAACCATCACGCGCGGTATTTTTTAACCTGCAGCTGCTCACGTTTTTAATACAGTCGAAGCTGATTAAGACATCCCCAATATCTATATGTACCAACCTTGTTGTCAACCACGAATAGAAAAAAAAAAGTTCTTACAGAATGTTCATAGTATGCAGAACCCCATTGAAACGCCAATAACCCCCACCTGACAAAGTGATTTTAGACTCAAGCAGGCCTCTGGTGTCAATTGATTTGCCATTCATACCCAGCCAACATGAATCCACCTTAATTCTGTGAGAGAGGTCTCCAGCACTTGCTCAGAAACAAAACACACGAATGATGTACAGTACTTCACTTATTTTTGGGAGCATTAGAATCATAAATAATTTACAGATACTGTAGGGTCACTTTGTTTGCCTTCTATAGTAGAAAAAGAATTTTTTTATTTTTCATACTCATACTGCATTACCATATTACTGTTTTTTTTTTAAATATCATCATCGAAATCCCCACAAACAATTAAATTGCTGCAGCTCATCAGATAAGGTTTGAGTTGACTGCTGTAGTTCAATTCACGACGTGCATTGAGCAGTTTATTCAACTTCAAATGTAACAATCTCAATCAATTTGCTTCAATCGTTTTTTTTATCTTCATTAATTGCTCCTCGTCCCGTCTCGCTTGATTTTTCTGTCTCATATTACCCTCATAATTGTGGGTTTTTAAATTACTTCTTTCTTCCTGGAGGATTCTCTGCATCATCGTAATTGATAGGCATCAACCCGCTCCCACAGCATATCGATGCAAGAATTTGCACACGTAACCAAGGATAAATTGCCAATAAAACCCATTCATACGTACACGGGAGCTGAATCTTCTACGAAAGAAATTCCATATCCATTATTCGAAATTAAAGTCAGAATAAAAGCAAGCAAAATTTCGAAATTTGAGAATTTTCAAGGGATATATTGTTTGGTGCTTGCTTTGAATGTGCGGTTAGGCAAAAGGTTAATGATGAGACAGTTGTCGTCATATCATGAAGACTGTATGTATCTTGAAGGATGACTCGGGAATGGATATTCCAACCAATCAATCATGCTGTGAAATAAACGAGCAAGATCGAGAGAATATAATGTTCCCGTCATCATTGAGAATCCCGCTGCTGAAAAAAACTACATAATAAATAAAGCTCGACTACTTCACCTTATACGTACACAGCGTACTGAAATGCATTTAACTGATGATGTATACACATTACTACTGCATTGCATCCCGATGATACCAGCATCGAATTAATCACACACACACACACAGATGATGCTGAAGCCATCAGTAGCAGGAGTCAGCAGCTTGCTGGCCCTCATNTGTCTCATCGTCGTCCTCGATCGAGGATCGCGGACTTTTGGGCGAGGCTCCCGAAACCCTGAACCAAAGAAGCCGCGATGATGATTCCCAGCATAGAGCACAAGGTCGTTCGCCTGATTGATTTATGTGCAGTATGTGCCTCTTCGTATCAATATATACAGTACTACTGTATTGCTGAGGGTGGGACAGGGGACAATAAACGAGGAAACAAAACAGCTTTCATCTCTACCGATCATCGACATACAGTATACTGTATATATATTTATCCGCATCATGCAACAATAGATATGTATTTCTCTACACTCCTTGAATTTACTGAACAGCACTAAATCGTTTTCTCCGATATACGCAAGTTTTTATTTCCCCCTTTGGTAATACTGCATTTCAACATCTTTTGTCAACTTCAAGTGGAGGATTCCATATTCAGCATTACAGTATTGCTCTTTGGCTTGAAAGGTTCTTCTCTATTTTTTTGTCTGTTTGGCGGTTTTTTGCTTTACAGTTCCCCCTCTATATATTGTTGAATCTGCTTTTCAAGTTTTCCCGACTCATCATTCTTCTGCAGCTGCTGCATACTGTACTGTATACAGGATCCGTGTTTAAAAATAGAAAAATACTGGTTAATGCAGAGTGAGGGATATGTGAAAACCATCACGCGCGGTATTTTTTAACCTGCAGCTGCTCACGTTTTTAATACAGTCGAAGCTGATTAAGACATCCCCAATATCTATATGTACCAACCTTGTTGTCAACCACGAATAGAAAAAAAAAAGTTCTTACAGAATGTTCATAGTATGCAGAACCCCATTGAAACGCCAATAACCCCCACCTGACAAAGTGATTTTAGACTCAAGCAGGCCTCTGGTGTCAATTGATTTGCCATTCATACCCAGCCAACATGAATCCACCTTAATTCTGTGAGAGAGGTCTCCAGCACTTGCTCAGAAACAAAACACACGAATGATGTACAGTACTTCACTTATTTTTGGGAGCATTAGAATCATAAATAATTTACAGATACTGTAGGGTCACTTTGTTTGCCTTCTATAGTAGAAAAAGAATTTTTTTATTTTTCATACTCATACTGCATTACCATATTACTGTTTTTTTTTTTTAAATATCATCATCGAAATCCCCACAAACAATTAAATTGCTGCAGCTCATCAGATAAGGTTTGAGTTGACTGCTGTAGTTCAATTCACGACGTGCATTGAGCAGTTTATTCAACTTCAAATGTAACAATCTCAATCAATTTGCTTCAATCGTTTTTTTTATCTTCATTAATTGCTCCTCGTCCCGTCTCGCTTGATTTTTCTGTCTCATATTACCCTCATAATTGTGGGTTTTTAAATTACTTCTTTCTTCCTGGAGGATTCTCTGCATCATCGTAATTGATAGGCATCAACCCGCTCCCACAGCATATTGATGCAAGAATTTGCACACGTAACCAAGGATAAATTGCCAATATAACCCATTCCTACGTACACGGGAGCTGAATCTTCTACGAAAGAAATTCCATATCCATTATTCAAAATTAAAGTCAGAATAAAAGCAAGCGAAATTTCGAAATTCGAGAATTTACAAGGGGTGTATTGTTTGGTGCTTGCTTTGAATGTGCGGTTAGGCAAAAGGTTAATTATGAGACAGTTGTCGTCATATCATGAAGACTGTATGTATCTTGAAGGATGACTCGGGAATGGATATTCCAACCAATCAATCATGCCCACTTTATTTGCTCGTTCTAGCTCTCTTATATTACAAGGGCAGTAGTAACTCTTAGGGCGACGACTTTTTTTGATGTATTATTTATTTCGAGCTGATGAAGTGGAATATGCATGTGTCGCATGACTTATGCATTTAACTGATGATGTATACACATTACTACTGCATTGCATCCCGATGATACCAGCATCGAATTAATCACACACACACACACAGATGATGCTGAAGCCATCAGTAGCAGGAGTCAGCAGCTTGCTGGCCCTCATCCTCCTGCTGGCCTCGTCGTCTCCAGCAGCAGAGGCAGCACCAGGTGCAGCAGCAGCAGGCCTCAACGTGTACCACTTGCCGATCGTCGGTGCCTCATCATCGCCAGTAGCAGCACCAGCAGTCACTTTGGCACAAGCACCACCCCGTCACTACGGCTACTACTACTCCACATCAGGAGCAGGCACCAGCAGCAGCCTCGACGACAGCGCCGAGGGTGCTGTGGCCTACTACACTCCAGTCACTCACTCATTGCAAGGGCCAGCATCAGCCCTGGCTGTGCAGCACTACGTGGCCTATGCCCCAGCAGCACCAGTCGTGGCTCAATATCAACCCGCAGCTGTCGTCGTCGGGCAGCAACACGACGAGTCCTCTGCTGCGCACCACTACCAACACCAGCAGTCCTCGTCCTCGTCCTCCAGGTACGGCGCTGGCTACACCAAGACCTCGTTCAGTGACGACGCCGCTGAGCACTTGGAAGCACACAGGAAGGCCGTCGAGGAACACCAGAAGGCCCATGCGCTGGCCCTGCAGAAGCACCAGGAGGCCCTGCTCAGAGCAGCCGACAAGGCCAGGTACATATACAGTACAGTGCAGTACATACGCGTTTCATTTTTCACGACGAAAAATTAGTTTCTTTCCTATATGGTCCCTTCCTATAATTCTCTCAAAATAATATACGGACAGCAATGAGAAATTATATATGGCTAATTAAAAAATATATATATATAAATGATGGGTACTGCTTTATAATCCAGTAAATATGTAAATCATATACGTATGTGCAGGAGTTCTTGGTGAATGAAACTTGCTCTTCTCACGCATGTATGCTTCTGTATATACACAGGTACAATCAAACCTCTCCCATCAGCAGTCAAATTTCAAGGGACCTGCAAGAAAAATTGACTTAGGGAGGTTTTGAGTTAAACAAGCAATTTTATTGCAAGTAAACGTTAAATGATTGTAAGTGGCAACATTCTGGGCCTCAACTTGCTCCTGACAATATGAGTTTAGTGTACATAATGGTGAACTTGGAGGCGGGGGGCTCCTTTCCAAAGGGCATATCAAAACACTTGTTTGATTGCTTTTCTCTCTATAATATGTTGAGAAAATAGTAGCCAAAAGGCCTCAGAAAATTTGACTTACGGATGACGTTTGAGGGAGAGAGAGAGACTTTGAGTTATAGGAAAGTTTTTCATGCATTATTTCTAAAAAAAAATGTGGACGGGGACTTGACAAAAAATATCAACTTAGGAAGGTGTATACTTGACTTAATGAGGTTAATTGAACTGTAAATCTGCAGCAGCAGCAGCAGCAGCAGCAAGGAGGAGGCCAGCAGTGAGGAAGAAAAGCAACAGCATAATAAGAAAGTGAGGGTTGCCTACAACGGAGCACCAGAACCAACAGCAAATGGCGGGCCACCATACGTAAAGAAGGGCACCCTTGATGTTCATCATCGTCAACCCTACGGCACTCCCCAGTTGGTCTCTGCCTACAGCGGGCCACTCGTCACCAAGGAGGAAACCGAGCGTCTCCACGCCGATGCCATTTACAAATTGCAAGGACTCGTTGCACAAAGGGACGCCATCAACGCCAAGGGTGAGCAAAGAGAGAAAATAAATAAATCAACAACAACAACAAAAACCTCGACAACGACAAATAATTGAGCTAATGGGCCGATATGAAACGTATGGAGAAAAGCAGCGGGGTTCGAATATATTGTTTTCACCATAGTCTCCAATAACCAGTATCATTTTCCAATAAAGGAAACCTATACTGCATTAAAATCAATTACAGTACAGTACAGCATCACCAAAACCAGGTGCGTTCCCTGATTATGAAGCCGTATACTGTATACGGGGAACGAAAAATGAGTTTGCAAAGTTCAAGCCCTGAAACTGTAGGATCAACAAGTCAACCAAATACAGTTCTGTAGTTCAATATTGAGATTAATTTTTCTTACTTATTTTTTCGAATCATGCAATCAATCGAAACCACGCAATTCCATATACAATATTCGAAACCGTGCAAAACTTGATGATGGTACAATGATGATGCATAGGATACTTTCATAAGAACGAATTTTAAAATGTTATAAAACGTCACCATCCTATTTTGCGGAGTTAAAAATGTACAATTTACCCATCAGCAGTCGAACGCTGGTATACAACTGTCCCAAAATCAAGCGCCACCTTCATGCAGGACAGCCAGACACTGGCGAAATTTTGCACAGAAATATTTTAAAAATTATTTATTACCCTCAAAATCCTGTATACGATACCTATCCACCAACATCCACGATGAAACAAATACTGCATTCATTTCGTATGAATTTTGTTTTCTTTACATAGCAAAAATTCGGATAGAATTGCGTTTTCAATCAAGGTTCTTGCGATTTCAAGGGAAAAGACAAAAATGTAGATTCCTATAAAAATCTATAGTCCTCATTTTCAAAATTTTACCGAGTTTCATGGAACGAAAAATGTTTGAGAAGAAAGATAAAATTAGTGGAAATGTCATTTTCGAAATGACTAGTTTTCTAATATATACTTTTGTTACAACCAAATTTTTCGATAGCGGTGAATGAAGTAATACAGTAGTAAAGATAAGTGAATTGTGAAATTTAAAGAAGAAATTTACCAAATGTTTTTTTCACAAAACTTCCCTTTTCGAAAGCCCCATTTTCTTAAACTGCTGATGACAAAGGAATGTAAACCCTTGCAACTGCAAAAAAACAAAACTCTTGAAACAAATGGTGGCATCTTATCAGGGTTTGACTTCTGAAAACCGTGTCCCAGCACTTGAAAGAACTTTTCAAGATTGACCATTTGTCACTGTACTGTAATCTACAATCATTCTACATATCATTCACTCACACAGAACAAACTCCCATGAACAGTAAATACTTGCATTCTCATCATTTTCAGCCTGACGAGGCCTACATTATTCATCGAGGTGATTAATTGCTGCTTATGTATTGGAGAAACCCAAAAATGAGCCTGACGTCATTGCTTGGGTATCATTCTGTGCCCTTGAAAGACAAAAAAAAACATAGATGACAATGCCAAGAAGATCACGTTGACGACGGGCCAAGAAATGAATGCGATCCCATTTTAGTGCATTTATTTAATGTCTCTTCCTCGATCGTCTTATATTCGTTGTTATATATACATCGCACATATAGGACCAGCTCCAGCAGACCCCAACTACTGGGATAACGCTAGTTCTGGCGATGATGACAGCAGCAACAACAACGACGATAGCAACAGCAGCAGTGCCAGCGATGAGCACCAGCAGCAGATAACTTACCACCACCAGCCGCAGCCAGCAGCAGCAGATACCTTCTACAACGTGCCCGTAGCCCAGGAAGTGACTCACCAGTACTACAACAAGCCCTACACTGGACCCCAGGTGACCCGGGCCGAGGCCGAGTACCTGCACAGAGACGCCATTGCCAAGCAGCAGGAGATGATCCGACAACAGGCTGCCAGACTCGACACGAGTGACGAGTCCTCCTACGAAGGCAGAGCTGAGAACGAGGCCCAGCTGAACAGGGATGAGCATAACGAGAAGGCCCTGCTGGCCAGGCAGGATGCTGAGGTCCAACACCAAGTTCAGGTCAGCAGCACATGTACCAAGTACTATAGGAACTATAGGGTACAGTACAGTACTGTAATACACTATACAGTACTTGCTGTGTATGATGCATATACTGCTCATGATGATCATCCAGCTTGTGCTGTATGATGATGAGCGAGGATATGTATTGAGGTGGAGGAGGAGGAGAGCAATTTAGCAGATGAAGATCAATTGAAAGATATAGCAGCATCAATAAGACAAGATATTACAGGGGACCCATGGTTAACAAACTTTCCAGTTATAAGAAACTTTTGGTTTTGAAGAAAAATCACTTGATTAACAAAGTGCTGGGGGAAAATCACAAATTTGAAAATTCGAAATTTGATTTCAATGCCAAAATGTGTGACACAATCAACAGCAAGTATAAGTGCAAATAATTCACTTATACACTGATATGAAATTTCTTCGGTTCTGGCCCTGTAATATGTGTAACCTTGTGTTAAAAAAATGTTTCATCTACCCTATCTATATACATGCTCTTCAATGAATGAATCAATTCCTTTTCTGTGTTTTCACTTGTATAATTATTGTGACTCCAATAAGTTTCCTTGTACATGGAAGAATGGTTCAAACAATGAAAATGTTTGGAATACATCATCAGTTGGATGATTTAATAAAGGAAGTAAAATATAAGGAAGGAGGAAATATTCTTGTAAATGAGGAAGCTGCCATATGTTGCAAGCACATTTTAACCTCTCCTGCAGACAGTGTAAAAAAAACCCAAACAGGAAAGAATTGGGAAAAATGGATCCAAACACAAGAAAGATTCCGCAATGCCTAACAACAATAACAACAGCAAAATGAATAAAATTGGACGCTCAGGTTTTCTACAGAAAGGATTATTCTTTCTTTTCAAATAAATCCTCACCAAAATGGGGGGGGGGGTGATGATGTCTTTGTTTACTTGAGGGCGTGTATATACATATACAGTAGTGGTACTCCATATACTGTAGTATAGTTATCGTCCCTATTTGATGATTGAGAATGACGACGACGAGGATGATGATGATGCTCTCTGCATAAATTAATGTTTCTGCAGCTTCGCTTATTATTTTCTTCATCTGCTGACGAAAACAGATTGCAAAGGCACAAGGAGAGCAAGCCAAGCAACCAGGTGCAGTCGAAGGATTCTACCGGCACGTGGAGTACAAGGATGCTTCCGGCTATAGCGACAGCGACAGCGGGTCTGCGGAAGTCAACAACAAGGAGCGACCTCTTCCGCTTGCGGCGGCAGTCGACTACCAACAGCACCACCAGGTTCGTTTAGCCATCAGTATTCTGTATAGGACTCTTGTGCTGTATTCCTGATGATGAGGGCTGCAGCATATATACTGTATACAGTAATAATAAGTGTGCCAATAATAATGTATTTGAATATAATATTCAACAGCAGCAGCACCAGCAGGTTGCCTACCAAGGACCGAGGGTGAGCAAGGAAGAGACCGAGAGACTGCACGCTGACGCCATCAAGAAGCAGAAGGAGATCATTGCTCAGCACGAGGCCTTCATTGCCAGTCACAAGGCCGGCTTCAAGACCTACACCTACCAGCAGAATGACCAGCACCAGGTTCCCTCGTCATCGGATGAGTCGCAAGAGAAGAAAAACAACAATAACTACCTTGTCGGCACTTATTATCCAGTCAACGTCGTGGGACCAGCTCCAGCTGCTGCTGCTCCTCACATCACCACCGCCTACTCCACGGGGTGAGATGATCCACCTCACCAATCTTCTTTTCTTTTTTTTAAATAAACCTTCTCGTTATGATATGCAGTCTATAACCGACTTTGATTCCTGAGGAATGTTATACACTTGCTTCCTTCTTTCAAACTTTTCAATCAACTTTGTCAATCATATGAGCATCCATGCTGTCCATTTGAATAATGAAGAAGGGCTGAAAATTGAGTTTGACTCGTTGAGTTTTTTGAAATACTTTAAACAGTATAGTACATCACAAATAAAAGTAACATTTGTTTTAATGCAATCCGACAATTTTTTACAATGCCGGAAACGTGGACAATAATTAAGAAAATGAAAATGCTGTAAATTTGTTGATTGAATGAATAGATATACTACTTGAAGAGGATTGTTTCTCATTTTTCGCAATTTGCAATTATACCTCCTTCTTCAATATTCTACAATAGAAACTTGTTATCTAAATTTAAAAAAAAGTGATGATTGGTGCAGAATATTATTTGCAGCATTAAATGTGAGAAGAGTGCAGCATGAGTCAACTTCGAATATACACTCTTCTGAGGAATTATAAGTTTGACAGAAAATATAAGTTCAGTCAAATTTGTTTTTTCGGTACATACAGTACTGTGCATATTTGTGTTCCATAATTGGCAAACCTTTTCACATTCCAAAATTTTTCCATTAACGACATGTGTAATAATAGCACGAACGTGGTTGATTTCATCCAACGGCGGATAGAAATGTTTTAAAATCTTTGTATTCATGTAACAATCAGCAGTTTGACAGCATCATATACAATTCAATAAGTTGAACGAAAAACTCCTTTCCTGTATTATACAGCGTCATCAACACTGATGAACATGCCCATCATATTCATCAGGCCACCCGTATTTACACAGTTTGCACTTGTCGTACGTATGTGAGCAACATGTCTGTATATTTGCTCGAAGGTTAATGAATAATGGTTTCCAACTACTGTACCTTACTTTGTGTCTGCTGCTGGTGCATGTAATAATGTGCATCATATGCACCACTCCTCGAGTTAATATCATAATAATCATCACACGAGTACAGTATTCCCTTTTTTTTTTCTTTCTCATCTATTTCTAATCATATTTTGTGCCTCATCATCATCATCATCATCAGATTTGCTCCTGCCACGTTCTACGTTGCGGCCCAACCGTTCCAGCACCAGCAGCAGCAGCAGCTCTATTCGGGTCCCGTAGTGTCGAAACATGAGGAGAAGTCCAGCGAGTCCAATGACCAAGATGATATTGAGAACAGTCAACAGCAGCAACGGGAACGGGCCCAGTTGGCAGAGCAGGACGCCGAGGTGCGGCGACAGATCCAGGTGGCCAAGGAGCAGGGCCAGTTCGCAGCCCAGGAAGCCAGCTTCAAGTACCAGAACCAGCAGCACCAGCAGGCTGGTGGTCTGGCAGCAGCTGTCGTCAGTAAAAAGGGCGCCACTGTGGCCCACTATAACGACGAACACCAACAGCAATACCGGCCCTCGAGCAGTGCTGCATCCGTTGTTGTGCACCACAACACTAGCCCCGTCCAATACGTCTACCACAGGTTCATTAATCTACAGTACTGTATAATAAATTCCGAGCCACCACACTCTGAATTCAAGTAATACCCTGCATTGAAATATTATCACAATAACAAGCTTGTGATATACTGTATATATACTGTATATACTGTATATGTATAGACTTGAGAAAAAGTTTGTGATGATGAGATTTTCAAAATTAATGCCTGGAAAATATTAATTCGCGTCAGATCTGCCGCCTATAATACTTTCTGCTTTTCTTTCCTGCTGGCAGTCTCAGGTTTTTCATATTTATTTGCAGCCAGCAAAGCATCCATCATCAGTCACACTTGGGATCAGAAATTTCCGGTTGCTCGAGCCTTTTATATAGTGAGGCAATTTATACCTGCAAAATCTTTTAAACAGCGCCCTGAAAAAAAGTTTTTTTTATGCTGGAATTGAATGAAAAGTTTGTTATCACGAAATGTTTTTCGAAATCTTCGTGCCTCCTACCAAGATGACTGCAGCAAATATTTATGATGTGTTACTGAAAAGTTTATGGTAGGACAATTTAAAAAGATCAATTTTTGCAGGTATAGTTCCCCTTGTATATACATCCGATTCGTTTGTTTCTTCCATATATCCCGCAAAAAGGCATTTTCATAAATGTACTGCTTCTTGCGTATATGATTCATATATACAGTACATACATAATAATATTTTTTCTCATACATATTTTTTAATTATTTTTATTTTTCTTCATCAAGGTACGCAAGGCCGACATACACCTACGCCGCAGTTGTTCCCCACGCATCAGCAGTTCCGCAGTATCAACATCAGTACTTTGTCAAGCCAAGTACTTCCGATGACTCTGGCGAAGAATAACTAATGATCCTCACAGAATAAAGGATGAACTGCATGATGCTCAGAATTTGCAACGAATACGACGAAGAACTCAATAATCGACGAAGGCAGGCATTCCTATGTCCCCAATATGTGAAGACAGAGAATTTATGGAAGATACTGTATATCAGTGCATGGATGACCGTCTTGTAGGCATTTTGGAAACTGGTATTTTTGTGTTGTGTAGCAATGAAATGCGAAACCTCGAGCAATCTCATCATCATCGCGTCATATGTCGTCCCTCGCCTAAACTGTTCTTGATTGTGGCGTCCAATTATTTTTGTGACTCATCTTCGGCATTCCACGCAAAACATGCGGATATATACGTGTCAGGTGCGCGATGAAATCGCAGAAGTTTTCTAGCAAAATGTTCCGATTGTTTGTGACAAGCGCAATGCATCGAATAAAAAAATTCTTCATTTCACAACAGTCCCGTGAAAAACCTTCCTTTCATTGCAGATGAGAAAACGAAGATTGCAATATAGCTCATCATCACTTTTTGTTGGGAATGCGGGCTATAGCTCATTCTTGATCTTATTGAATAATGCAGGCATGATGCCACGCTTCACTTCTCCAGCATAGACTGTATATTTAGATTTTCTATTACAGTATAGAAACAGCAATGATATTCCTGTATACAGAAACCTCTGTCGTGTTTGCGATATAAATTGTACAGTATAATGAAGAAACGTTGAATCATGGTTTCGAGTGGATAAACGAAATCTCGTGCATCAAACATTCACTTCACATGCAACCATTATTTGCCTGGGTCATTTATGTACAAAAAGTAAATAAATACCAAAGCTTACTTTCAAACACAAAAAAGTGCTGCTTGAACCCCCTTATTAAAATTGATGCTCAACGAGTTACTCTTAATAAAACACCAGCATGCATCAGTTTAGCCGCTAATTTATTTGATAAGCATAAAGAAATATTTTTTCAGAGGAAAACTTTTTTCTAAAATTGGGAAAGAGAGTGTAATATAGTATTTTACAATTTCACTAATTTAAATTTCAAACAAGGAATGAGCTACAGTATTTTGAAAGTATGAAAACATTTCAAAATCAATATTTTAAAAGGAGAATTCAAATTTTTCTATCACTATTTAAATGCCAGTGAGGGAAAATATTTCGTTCAAATCGAAAAACAAATTAGGCAGCTCTAGCAGCAAGTTTCCACCTTATGAAAAAATTACATATGAATTTAATACAGCATGCAGGAAATTTCAATATGATTTTATCCATTTTTGAGACATTTCAGCTTGATCTGGTAATTGAAGATATCAAAATTAAACCTTGAATCCCTATACAGTGAGACCTCAAGATGCAGATGTAACTGGTGCATTGAGAGTATCCCCAAGTCAAAATGTCCTGAAGTTGAGTCTCAATTTCCCTTAGACCTACGTTATATAGATTTTAATTGGTGTTTTATGTACAAAATAATCACCATAATTCCATGAAAATAAAAATTGTCACCCAATTTCAACTGATTCCAATCAATTTATTCCAACACAATATGGACATTTGGGGAATTGAATTCTGATACCTCTGTAGAGTACACAAAAATGTTGGCATTCTCTGTAAAAATGACATTCAAGTGAAAAAAGAGAGAAGGAAGTCCCTCTCTGCTGCAGGTAATTTTTTATCAGCTAGATGGATGGAAAATTGGTGAGAGAAATGCCCAAGAATTTTCTTGCATCAATTTTTGGGTTGGAAATATCTGTTTCTTGTTATTTGGGCCTGAAACCAATTTGCAATTTTTTCCCAAAATGTCCCAATGTTGAGTCAGTGTCCTCATGTTGGGCCTTTTTTTATCAATTTTCCATGGGAAAATGAGTGTCCCTATGTTGAATTTTCTGCAGGTCAAGGTGTCCGCATGTGGGGTCCTGCACCCCTTTTTATCCCTAAAAACAGCTCTGGAGAGCAGCACACTTAGTGGAAGCATGACTCAGAAAATAGTATAGCCATGTTGGGCACCTAGACATTTGGCAATGCCACTGTTAATGGAATCTGCAATGTGTTTTTGCAATGCTTATAGGATTGCAGCCAATGCTGTCTTTCACATGGGGCATTGGTGCAGCACAAGCACAACCCATTGCCAAAATGCCATTGTCAAATCATTGGCAATGAGCCATTGCTGAAATGGAATTGGATATACACGAACTTCTACAATGAATCTGATTATAAAACATTTTTTGCTAAAAAGAAATTTTATGCAACAAATTTTTGCTACAAAATTTTTTTTTCTTGGTCCTGGCAGTTTCCCATGCGTCCAATGTTGTGAAAATTTCATTTCAATGAAATAGGCTATACAATTGCCCCCTGAGTATAACTGAATCAATTTGTGCAACAGATTAGTCCTTTGTGCAAAAAGTCTGTTGTGCAACAAGTTCAATTTCCACATAGGTTTACATGTTAAAAATTTTAATTTGCTTTTAGTTTGAAAATGCAATGGGAAAATTAGGAAAGCACAGCCATTCTTGAGGTTCACAAGTTTGGAAAATCAAGGAATAATTTCCGTCAGCAGAATAAAAATAAATTGAAATTAAAAAGAAATGAAAATGAAAGATGATTCAATTTTATTGGCCGAAAGACTACAAAGATAAATCAATTAAAAAGTTGGCCAAGAGTCACTGAATGGATCTACCAGTTTTAAAAAGAAGAAACGTTTCCCCACTGAGCATAAAAGACAAGCTTTTATAAGAAACAAATATTATTTCCACAATTATGGCATGGAGGGGCAAACATCAATATAAATCAGTCAAAATCTTCAACATCTGTGCACAGTATTCATATAGTACACACTTGGCATATGAATGATTGGTGGACGGACTTCTCGCCGGAGCTCACATGTGAGCTGCCAATTTACACTTCTCCCCCTTCCCCCTGCCTCACTCCCTGAACCCATCACTCTCTCTTTGAAGAAAAATCATGAGAGACTTCAGAAGGCCTGTTTGAATAGGTATAAACAGTATAGTAGGAGAAGTACTATCAACAAATATAATTAATATTCATTTTTATAAACCTTATGGCTTTACTGAAGGTTCTCTTTTCATTACTCTGATTATAAAAGTTGAGTACATGCAATGAGAAATTGTCTGAATTAAATTTGCTATTAAAGGGTTCTTATATTGTATTTATTCTTATTCATTCTCAATGCTGCCCTTCCTACATGGACATCAAAATTGTTTCTAACAATTCAAACTAGAAATTTGTATGATATAAATGCATACCTTATGAAGTTTTCCAAATATCATTTGTTTGATGTGAAATATTCATGATTCATATTGAGTTCACAACCATGCATAATTTGAGTTCATAATTACTAATATTGCTTCATTGATTGATTCCCTGTTTTCCAGTGATGACTTTTTCAAAATATCAGTATTGGTACAGTACAGTATTTATATGATATGGAATAATCAGAGTAATGAAAAGAGAACCTTCAGTAAAGCCATACGGCTTATAAAAATGATTATTAATTATATTTGTTGATAGTACTTCTCCTACTACACTATTTATACCTATTCAAACAGGCCTTCTGAAGTCTCTCATGATTTTTCTTCAAAGAGAGAGTGATGGGTTCAGGGAGTGAGGCAGGGGGAAGGGGGAGCAGCGTAAATTTGGCAGCTCACATGTGAGCTCCGGCAAGAAGTCCACTCACAGAATGATTTTAGGACAAATACAGTATGTATCTCTGCATGCGCTGGACCAGCAGCAAAGAATACATTAAGGTGCTGGGTATAAAGAATAATCAAGGGTTGACTATGGTATGGTGTCAAGTTCATGGCCTAAGTTTCTGACGCCTTATTATTTTTGGGAAATTATTTTTTTATTGAGGTTAAATCCAATGCATAGTTTTGCGCTGTCCGGAAGCATATACAGTATTGGCGTCTCTTACTAAATATTGATGGCAACTATGCAGCAGTATAGGGGCCAACACTCAGAATGCAAGTGGGTTCAAACTGTTATGTGAAACCCGCCACTGCTTCTAATGGCGCATTCGAATAGAAAGGATAAAATGTCTGCGTTCTATGCCAGGTCTGCCACCTGTGAACAACGTGCTACCCGTGGGAATTTAGGGCAAATGTTATGAAGCCCATTCGGGACCCGTAAAAGACTCAGTATGAGCTTGATTTGGTGAAATTTTCATCAGTCGGATGTATTAAAATGATCTGGTGGATGGTTATTCCGATATCGCACAGGAAACATCTCTCGAACTAGAGAGGAACGCTTTTCTTGATAGATCGAACCGTGCATAGTACGGCTTCAGGCGTGTGTCAGTATGTTGAAAGCATGTATTTTGTCGTTTTTATTGTAGCAATGACTCGAAGAAACGTCGATCGAGTCAATTGAAAGAGCCACAAAGGCCAGCCGACGAAATGCTACTGCAGGATTATTGCAGCCGACAGTTTGAACATGAATGCGATAAGTTTTGCTAATAAGTAGTGAAATGGCAGTGGAAGGATAATTGACGCTTGAATCACACTCGTTCATGTATGCTTTTTTCTATCATTCAGAAACCAGAATTCCACCTGAGAATTTAGGTCGATTTGTGTGTAGTGCGCACGCCTGAGGCTGCAATTAAATGTGGAAGTTGTTCGAGGTAACCCATTTCTGCGATGCCGGCGTTCTAGTGCGTAAAACAGCGGACGCAAGTTTTAAATCGGGGGAGTATTTTTGCGCTGAATTGGCGAATTTCTCTGGGGAAGAGATGGATTACCAGCAATCGTGGGCCTAATGTGAGAACTGGAGCAATCCGCTTGTATAAACGTGTTGACGAGCATGCAAGTCATCGATTATCGGCGTATTCCGCGGTGATCTGTTGCACTGGCGCAGCAAAAACTTCCGAAATCGATGATGATTCATCTCACGATGCCGACCGTTGTGTCGGCAGAGCAGCACAACGTCCCCATCCGCGGCATGAAGGTCGACAAGGCGACGCAAGTCGACGTTGATTTGGAGAACATGTCCAAGATCTTGTCCAGTGTGCGCTCGTCGGAAACCATCGAAATCATCCCGTTCCAAATGGAATCCCTTGGCGGTGGTGTTACTCAAGTGCCAGGCAAGTTTTCTGGCGAAGTTGATACTGTAGCATTGCCGGCTGTATTGTTGAATTTTTATCATGCGTTATGGTTTACGTTTGGCTCGTGGAATCCGTGATGAGGTGTAGATTCTGTTTTGCCGCACGTTTCAAATTTTTTTTTGGGAAAGAAAGTACTGTACCTTAGAGCTCAGTTTTGTGTTCATCATCAGATGAATCTTCCCTGGGCTCCGTGATTTTTTCGGAAGATATGAAGCCGAGATTTTATTTGCAGGAGCGACTGCTATAGTCACCTCGAATGGAACTTTGCGCCTATTACAAAGTCCAAATGGAGCAATCGCTGCCGTTGGTCCTAATTCGGGATATGTCACCCTGGCAGCCGCACCAGGCACCATGAGTGCCACGCAGTTCATCGCGACTGCCGCCGCACCGGTGCAGGGTCATGAAGAAATCACCGCCGTTGGTCATCATCATCTAACTCCGGCACAGATAGAAATCAGTGCCAGCCAAGGTAAATTTTATCTGGGAATAATGTAGTCCTAATTATTAGGGTAACCTGACGTAACGGAGTGGATTAAAATAGAATCAATCGCTAGATGATGAAAAGAAAAGAACGGATAATTTTGAAGGAATATCCCGTTTAAATATTTGTGGCGTACGTGTGAATGAGTGCTGGGTTCTTGGGCCTTGGCATTATTTTGTCCATTTTTGCTTCATTATGATGATGTCCGTTATGGCACAGAATATATTTGAACCGTTTTATTCCAGAGCCTGAGCATGAGGCGGGAGAAGCTCAGCGGGTGGTGAAGATGGAAAAGAAGTCGTCGTCGTCCCACGCGCGCCCATACGGCTGCGATGAATGCAGCCGAAGTTTTCGATTCGTCGAAAACTTGCAGAAGCATATCCAGCAGGGCCACTCTGAGGAGACCAAGCCGCACAAGTGCGACACGTGTGGGAAGCGCTTCCCCCATCAATGGAATTTGAATCGGCATATCCAGTCGCATACGGGCGAGCGGCCGCACATGTGCGAGATTTGTAACAAACGTTTCATGCGCGCTCAACACCTCGATCAGCATCGAAAAGTGCACGAAGGACAGCGATATCCGTGTGATGTGTGTGGAAAGCAGTTTACGCATCTGCGAAACTTGCAAAGGCATCGAAGAACGCATGCAGCCGGAGCGAATGCTTCTGTACCTAGCAATGTTATGTATACATGCGATGCGTGTGACGAATGTTTCATGCAGTCAGAAGAGCTCGACGAACACAAGAAGCTTCACCATACTTCAGATTATAAGGTATGGTTTCCGCTCTCGCCCCGATTCATCTCTTTTTGTATTTCTCGCGTATATCTGTGGCTTAACATTGGAGGATAGGATTGACTTAGGGGTTGCTCTTTTTTATTGGTTCTTTTACCCAAAGATTCGGCGGCAGTCTGGGTTTAATGTTTTTTCGTCGCGGTATCCAGTGGGTCAGTTACCTTTATTCTCAAATCGGAGAAGGTTAATACTGATACTCCGCCGTCCCGAATGACTCGGCGTAGATGTGTGCATTCGTGCGCATGGACGTGTTTTACGTGTACGGTAACTTCCGTTTCTTTGGCGATAACATGTTGAAGAACGTTTCGGCTTCCATTGCATTTCGTAACGTGAAATTCCGTTTCTAGCCCGATGTGTTCTCCCTGGATCACGGTGGAAGCAGTGGTGGGACGATTCAGTATGAGCAGTTACAGCCAGCCGACCCGGGTCCAGTGCACGTGGTCACGACGACGATGCCAAATGCTCCCATTATGCACACACAACACGTCACAGTATTGCAACAGGTGGGGTCATCGAGATATGAGGGGAAGTCTGCTTTCCTTGTTCTCTTTTTGCTGATTAAATTATCTTCCGTGTTACAAATGCAATTTCCTGTTTTTTTCAAGTAATTTTTCGAATCTTTTGAGACACGCCTTTTTTAATAATTTCCTAACTAAAATTCGTGTTTGAAAATGATCAGTCATTTTTCCAGTCATCAATCTGCATTTTCTGCGACACCCTCTTTGTTGGTGCTTGCTCTGAATGAATTTGTGCGAAAAAGAGCCAGCTCGTTGGTTCATCCTCCGCGTTGACCGGTTTGAGGGTAAAAAAATGCTTCTCTGTTGCAGACACCAGCTGAATCTCTCACACCACCTCCAGCGCCGCAGCCGCCGGCGAAGCAAGAAGCGCCCCAGCAGCAACAGCAAGATTCAAAACCTGTCATCACTCCGACAGCGAGCTACGTTTGCAACGAGTGTGGGAAAAGTTTCACAAATCCGAATAACCTGAGCAGGCACAAAAAAAATCACAACGCGTTTCGGCCATATGCCTGCCATGTTTGCGACAAGCGGTTCTTCCAGGTGGAGTGTTTTTTTCCTGTCGTGTTCGACAGAATTATGTTTGTTTAACCGAATTGCTGGCGACAGAAAGTATAGTAGACTGTATGTTCGATTTTTGCTTGCACAGGTGCAACATTTGCAGCAGCATAAGAAGTGCCACGAAGGTCAGCGCTACGGCTGCGAACATTGTGGGAAGCAGTTCACCCACCCTCGGAACCTGCAGCGCCACCGACTGATACACACGGGACAGCGTCCCTACGTGTGTCCGCAATGCAATAAGGCCTTCAACCAGTCGACTCACTTGTACAAGCACATCAACATCCACCAGAAGCTGCCGCATGCGTGTCGTCGCTGTGGAGAACGGTTCCGCTACAAGACGGAGCGGGAACGGCACAAGAAGGCGGTGCATGCCAACAGGGACGACATGAAGCCGAACGTGGTGGGCATGCATCACGTGGAAGGTGACGAGGATGACCACGGCGGCGACCACCTCCGTCACCACAATCTGAGTTCACTCACGCCGTCGTTGGTCGTTAGCCGTCGTCAAGATGATGACGAGGATCGCGATCGGGGTGGGGATGACGCCGTCGGCGCGGCAGTCATAACGACAACCACGACGACGACGACAAACTCCGCAGGTAAAGTACTGTACAATGTAAGCGGCTGGCATACTCGTGTTCCCCTGGTGGTTTTTGAGCCTCTCTTGCAATTGTATCCATCTATATTTATCGTGTTGTGGTGTTTAAGAAGTATTGTCTGTACGCGGGTGTCTGCAGGTGTCAAGATGGAAGCTCCGTCAAACTACGATGCCCAGCACGCCATCGAAATGAAGTACGACAGCAAGGGGGCCATTACGAGTGCAACAGTCGATGCGTCTGCCTTGCGCGTGGTTCATGACGGGAAACTGGACACTGGCGAGCTCCAGTTTCAAGATCAGTTTATGGACGGAAAGTTGGGGGACAGCGATGGTAGCGGAGAACAGGCGGACATGCAGTTCCAACAGCGTTACCTATCGCATGACTTCATCTCTTCGTGAGAGCGATGATCCGATGTCGGCTTCATGGGGGGACAAAAATGGCAACTGCAGAAGTAATACCAGGAAAAAAATGTGCGGCTAATGTTCCATTATCCTCCACTCAGAAGCGCTTGTGTGTTGCACTAAGAATCGGTTCGTGTTTCTGCGAGAAGCATTCCGAAGCCCATGCTGAACAGTTCAAATCCCTTTCAGAAACTTCATGCCATGAGGCTGAGTGTCAAATGACAAGTTGTTTTTGTTTATCTCTCTATTCTGACCCCGCCCTTTTAGAATTTCATGCCATTGTATGCTAATACCTCACTACAACTGTTTCAAAAATAAGGAATACGGTAAGTCGGGAACTTCTGACTGCGCACACCAGTTTTAAAAATTGAGCAGCTAAATGAGAGTCCTTGAATCCTCGAGGGGGAGGGAACTGGTCAAGCAAAAAATAAAATCCTGGGAAGAATATTCCTGCAATGAGTGCATCGAAGAAAAGAGGTTAATAGAGTATGCCCGAGGTCGCTTTGTGTGCCATGCCCAGAAACATTGAACGAGTTTTATCACCGCAAAATTGAAGGTACCAACGACGGTGTTGGAATCCGCGGCTTTGGGTTCTTTTCTATTCTGCTTTGTAACCTTTTTTGTGTGAGGACGTCGAGTATTTATTGGAATCTGTGTATAACGACGGCGTGAGTTGTCCATTGAATCGATCTCTTGTTGAAAACGGTCATTGCGCCTTGAGGAAGAAACGCAGGTGTCCCTCAGAAGGCGGTTAGTTTTAGGTATTCGATTCAGGAGCGAAAAAGTTATGCATTGCGCATAGATGAGATTCGGTTCACTTCGAGACCACGTGACTTGACCGCGTGTGTCAAGGAAGGCGTCCGAATCCAACATTTTTGATTAAAGTAGCTGGGTTTTAAAGAAGACTTGGGGATATTGTGGTCTGCTGATGCGAGTTGTTGTTCTTGACCCTGCGTATCATCACGTCTCCCAAGATTCTTCATGCAAATGACATTCAGGGGTATTTGGCATTTCATTCTGGCCAAAGTAACGACGACGGAATCGAAATCGAGTGCGGGACATGTTTTTCTTGAAGTCTGGTTTTCATCGACTTAACACAAATCAAAGATCACCTGAACGCTGGATTTATCGGATGGTTTTCGTTTCACCCCCCCGGATGGCCTTTTGGAAATATCCGTTAATTTCAGTTCTTCAGACTAGACTGCGCGCGTATCAATTTGTCTCATTTTGTGCTCGTATTTCCTGCTTTCGATGTGTTCGGGCATCATCATTCTCGTATTGTAGCTCCGTCCGAGTTGTCTCACTGGAGAGATGCATTGGGCATGTTGGCAGTGCGACTGGGGCGTCGTTGTTTCCGGAAGTTGTCGAATCGTTTCCGCTCGTTGTCGTAATGTTTTTCATTTGTTCAGCAAGATTGAAATACCAAAGCAAGAACAGCCTAAAAATCAAACGCTGTTGGCGATGCAGTACTCATTGCTTTTTTGAGGAAGGTTTAAAGTTTTGTATTTTTGTGGGAAAGCAAACTCCATGATCATGTAAGAAGAAAAAAAAAGTCTTCTTACTTAAATTCTATGGAGACTAGAGAAGAAAAACCCAGTCATTGTGGTGTTGAAGCAAGATCTCGTGCCTAAGTGAAATACTCAGTTTATTATAAGATTTATGGCAGATTAGTCGCTTCGGATGACCCATAGACGAAAAATAGGCTATTCCGGCCTAGAATGTTTTCGTTTTTGGTGTTTTTTTTTTCGGTGTTGGTGAATGTGCAGGAGAGCTTGTGGTTTTTTTGCTATTCAGAGAAACATTTTTGATGTATTTGTATCACGTGTGTTTTGGGTCATTGAATCGTATGGGTGTTGTGCTTATAGATTCATTGATGAATTACCATGTAATGTCCCGAGCTGCCACTTTCATTGGTGGGCTAGCTGAGTCAAGGGATTCATGTTTTCGGTTCTTTAACGCGTTAGCCCCACTTTCGGACTTGGTTATGAACTCCTTGTTCTCGGTTTCGTGGATTATTTGATTTTGGTGTTTCGTGCTCCTGATGATGAGGGGAACCATCGAGTTGGAAAATCGCGAAGAGGAGGAAAACACCAGATGTTGTTTTTTTCTGATTCTCTCTCTCTTGTTCTCGTGAGTTTTGCTTTTTGCATTTGGTAATCGACGGGGATTCCACTTTGAGTTGACAACTGTCTTGTTTGATGCTTGTCGTATGCAGGAAGGAAATTGAGTCGCGAAGTTCAAGGACTATGTGATGAATTCCGTTTGTCAAGTGTCAACTTCGAAATGAGCTTCTCGACATCGTATTACAACTCTCACGAACCTCCACTGAAAGTTGATAAAGGTATTCAGGTGAGTGATGCTTCTTTTGAACCTTTAAAAGGAGGGGGCGGGGGGAACCTACATTTTATAAGTTCATTGATTTATTGATTCCGTCCCCATGATCTTCAGGTGGACCCACCTGCAGAAACTGGCTCGCAGACGACCCCCGAACCAGACAGCATCGATGTCCTTCCGTACATAGACGTGAAGAGCAGCCAGTTGCTGGACAGTTCTCTGCAATGCACTTCCACGGATGGCCATCATTGCACTGGTTGTGTGGAGTTTACCAAGGGCGCGAGGACCGTGTACTCGGGTGCGAGAGGAGGATACACGATTGCGGGCAACCTCCCACAGGGGTACTGTGATATTCATAGTGGTCATCTCCAGGTGCGAGTCTTGACGAATCACGTACTGTACTCGTAGATAGATGGGTCGTGTACGCATCAGGGCCCATTTATTTATTTTCATTCTCTTCAATTGTCATGTTACACGAGACATGTGGCAAGGGGTTGACAGTCGTTCGAATCACATCACATCCCCGTGTAATGCACGGGTTCGTGTCGTGTTCGTGTGGGAATCCTGACGGTCAAGAGACGACAAATAACAGCTCTTCGTTGTTGGCGTGTGTTTGGGTTCAATATTCGAAAGCGAGTTGTGTTCAATTGTGGATGGACGTTCGTCCCAAATGATGGGAGTTTTAACGCATATCGTTGACATGGACGAGATGTTTTCGAAAGTAACACATACGCACTTTTTTTTGGCAGGGTTTTCGACAAGGCCCAGTTGGCAGCCCCGAGTCGGCAGAGTTCAACTTTGTGGATAACGTGTCCGTCACGGTTACTCCAGTAGTTGCTCAACGTCATAGCGGCGATCAGACGCGGACAGTGCAGAATCATGAGGATGAAGAAGATGGTTCGGATGATATGCACGCGGTGCACCCTGAGGAAATCCACTCGGTTCAAGATCTGCAAGGTGCAGTTGAAAGTGTCCCCTTGGGAACGATATCGGTGAGTAATCAAGTGCAAGTGCTGTTTGTTTGAAGCGATTTCCGTGCTCGATTTTTTGCTTAGCGATTCTTAGTGGTGGTGGCTGGAATGCCGCGTCCCTATATGAGGTTTGGGAGGTATTTTAACTAGTACAGTATATTAAAAAAAGAAAACTTCCTGCATTCTCTTGTACTGTACTGCTGTTTCTTTTTTCGTCGAGATAATTTTTTCGATGATCAGTGTATTTCCGAGTTGCTTTAACGTGCTTGCAATTGGTGAAACTTCGCCGAACTGAGATAACACAACTGGATTCTTGCTGCCATCAGAATACTTTGGTGTAGTCGATTTCAGAATCTATAAGAATTGTTTATGAAGTTTCTAATCACACGTAAACATTACTTCTCTCTCAAGTAATTTGTTTCCAGTCCATCTGCGTTACTTGAGAAGCAGTGTATGCCGCGTGCTATTTATGAGATGGACGAGATGTAGCTGCAACGAACTTACAGTACCTGATGATGTCAAGATAGTCCGCCAGGAAAGAAGGACCTTGTTTCTTTATCCTCTACACTCTACAGCAACAAAATAATGCAAACTCCGTGAGGGAGAAAGAAGAAAAAAGTCGGCAGCCCAGTGCCAATTTTTCTTTCTTCTTCTAATTTGCTTGAGCAGTGTTTTAAAACTTGTTGGCTGCGCACCTGTTCTGGTCTGCCGAACTTTCACTGCCAGTCCGCGTGAAAATGTAACTTGAATACGGGTGGACGCGTTTGAGAAGTACTTGGACTGTATTATGATCTCCGATTTTACAATAACTCCGGAAAGTGTTTAGATAGGAATTTTCTATCATGCGTTGAATGATGGCATTATGTACTGCAATCTCGAAACATCAGTCTTCGCTCAAGTCGAAAATTTCTTCCGTTGCCCTAGACCGTCTTTGATTTTTTCCTCTGACGTTTTCACTGCGGACATTGGTTGCATTTACGCGTGTGTGATTGATGACGTTGTAGATTCAATAGCAGGACTAGTTAGCACCGTTGAGGTTTTCTTCTTGAAAGTTCCTGCAAGTCATCAACGCTTGTCGGAATGATGAGCAGCAGCAAGCCTGCTGCGACACACAACCTGATGATGATAATGTGAACCATTTTGTGATTCGCAGTTGGAAATGAAGCAGGAGGGACACGTGCATCACCCGCATCACCACGGCGCGAACGAGGACCGTGAGCACGTGCACCACAAGCAGGAGCAGGACGAGGACTGCGACGGTGTGAAGGTGAAGAACCTGCCGGGCATGCGGGCCATGCGCAACATGCGGCCCTACGTCTGCGACCTGTGCCCCAAGACCTTCTACAAGGAGGAGCACCTGGTACAGCACAAGCGCGTGCACAGCGGCGAGCGGCCGTTCAAGTGCAACCTTTGCGACAAAACCTTTCGCCAGAGTGGTGCCCTGCACAACCACAAGCAGATCCACGTCGGCACCAAGAACTTCCACTGTGATATCTGCAACAAGAGCTTCGCGCACGCGCGTAATCTCAAGTGCCACGTTCGGACGCACACGGGCGAGCGGCCGTACCAGTGTGACCAGTGCAGTAAGTGCTTCACGCAGGCCCAGCACCTGGCGCAGCACAAGCGCCTGCACGCGGGACACACGCACAATTGTGACGAGTGCGGTCAGAGTTTCACCCACCCGAGTAACTTGGTGCGGCACAAGAGGATCCACACCAACAACCACAACAACCCCAGCAACCATCATGCATCTCATCGGCAGGACGCGATCGAAGAAAAACCCTTGCTCAGCAGTATCAACAACTCTCAGCAGCAGCATCAGCAGCAACATCATCATTCTGTAGCGACTGCAGGTGTCACGTATCAACGCGTTGAGGTTATTTTCTCATTTTTTGTTGGTGTTGCTATTTTCACGTATTGAATCATTGCTCTGCTTTCATTACAGGTGCTCGTTCCCGAAGATGCACATGGCGAATCTCATTCAATCATGCTCGCTCAGCCCGCTGACGAGGAAAACGAAGACCACGCGGACGGTGACGGTGGGAAATATTACACGCTCTCCGCGGCGACAGACAAGTACGAAATCGTAGGACACAAGTTCTATACCAAAGATGGCTCGGAGCAGGACACGGAAGAAACGGAAGACAGGAAATTTTACGCGTGTGAAATGTGTGATCAAGTGTTTCATCACCCGGTGGGTTTCTTTTTTTTTTCTGGGTTTGATCTGCGATATTTTGCTAGGTCTAGAATCTAGCGTTATGTTTCTGGATGAGTATTCCCAGCGGCCGTTCTGTGTCTTCCAAATTCTGGTCCAAGGGGGAAGGAATTTTTGCATGGACCGGCAGACAATTATTAACGTCCTACAGTCTCTGGGACGGAACTTTAAGTTTTTAACGTGAAGGTGTCTGGAATCTTCCATACATTTTCAAACCTGATTTTTACCGAATATTCTGTTGAATGACGCGTAGCTAGTAACGTTTTTGTAATGATCTGTTCTTGCTTCATGGAATGTGTTCTCTCATTCCACCGAAAACACACGAGAAACAGTTGACACTTGAATTAAAGTTCGTTTGTATCACAAAGGGTGCCACCTCACTCACATTTTGAAATTCCGGGATAGCCACGTATCAGGGTTTCAGAAGTGAGCTTGTCTTGACATTTTTAAGGGTTCAGAAATTCTCCAAAAGAGTTTTTGCAAATTTGAAACCTTCTTCACAAACAAGGATAGAAATCATGCTGAACTCCGACAAATGAAACCATTTCTAGGTATTGCAAGTATTTTTCGAACTACGATTTTTCCAAACATTTCTTTGGCAAAGACAAGGAAATTGCAGTACAGTAGTATTATTTGGTATGCTTCGCACACATCTTTCACTATCCTGGGGAAATTTTCCCGCAGCCGGGCGAAAAGGTTGTGCAGACCAGTGCTGGTGTGTTGACCGTGTCCGTTTCGAAGAACGCTGATGTAGAAAGCATTTCAGTTGGGAATTAGGAAACGTTGATCCAAATGTGTCCTAGTTTTGCGGTTTAGAGCGCCTTCTCCAGTGAAATAAACGTTTGGAGTTGAATTTTATAAATTTAAATTTTGTCCAGTTGTTGGTCAAGTGGCAGTGTTAGCCGTCGAATGGCTCCGGGCATTATATGAGATGAAGTTCATGTTTGTGTGCAGGGACATCTGGAGCATCATCGGAAAAGCCACGATTTAACGTCAGCGACGCCCGGGCAGATTTTCCCGTGTGATACTTGCGGAAAGGTGTTCACCCAGCCCAGGAACCTGCAGCGACATCAGATGATCCACACGGGAGAGCGACCGTTCACGTGCCCCACTTGCGGCAAGGCCTTCAATCAGTCCACGCATCTTACCAAGCACATGAAACTCCATGGCATGGACTTGCCTTACACGTGTCGTCGATGCGGTGAACGTTTTCGGTATGTGCGTCCGGTCTTACCCGAGTTTTTTTTTTTTTTTTTTTTTTTTTTTTTTTTTTTTTTNCCCCCGGCCTCACCCGTTTTTTTTTTTTTTTTTTTTTTTTTGCGAAGCATGGCAAATTTTGGTTTTTGTCCTCAATAATGTCAGCAGGTATTCGAGCATTGCAAAGCACGTTTGTTTTTCGTTGAGCCTTCAAATTCAACAGCATTATGCATTTTTATAGAGGGGAGAAGAATATACTGAATCATGTTTGAGTTGCTTCTCCAGTGTGGCAATCGATGATTTGAAAAAAAGTAATCGTGCTTCTCAGCTATATTGCGGTTCTGTTAGAATCAAGTTAATGTACAGTATTCGTCTTTAAAAAATCCTTCGATGAATTTGGAAGTGAATTTCGTTTTTCCTCCGTAACCTCGGACCTATCTAATGTTGCATAGCCACTTGATGTTTACTCACGCCCTCTGTTTGTCCCAAGGTACAAGTCAGAACGAGAGCGGCACAAAAAGGCGTACCATGCTCCGTTGAGTCCCGACGCGATGCCTGCCCCGTCCTCAATAATGTCAGCTTCTCAGCGGGAGCACATGCACTTGTACGATGATTCTGGCTCCTCGTCGTCCGCGGTTGTCACATTATCTCAGTCACCACAAGGTTCGTGCTGAAAAATTGTCGAAACGAAAGTTATGTTTCGCCTCTTCTTCTGAACTGCAATTCACGCATATGAGCGAGTAATCTGCTCAGAAATTGACCCTCATTGCTGGTGGAAATTTCGAGCCGGATTTCATAATTTTGTTGTGAATGGGAGAACATGTTCGTTGGAATGAATGGTTACTTGAAAAAAGTGACGGTTTTTCCTGCGAAGCTGCGAGAATGTCCTGTAAACTTGCAGCGGATGAAGGGCCTGCATTTTTTTCCTTCACCAATTATTAGGTTTCACTGAAGTATTCGCTTCGTTTTGTTCCATAGGAGATGACGTGGATTTGAGTGTGGCCGTTTCGGAGCTTGCAAGTGACCGAGACGCTCGTGCAGAAGTGGAAAGCAGTGTTGTGGCACACGTCCACGAAGATGGCAGCGTTACGCTGGCCTATCCTCCGTCTGAAACATTTTGAAATCCCGTTTTTTTGAGATGAGGATTTTTTTTAACTTGTTGCGGGAGATTTCTAATGGGGTAAGTCGATGTAACTTTTTTTGTCGAATTTCGTTCCGACTCTCATAATCTTCATAAAATTTAAATTTTCTTGCCCAGATATGTATTTGTGTCGGGATCCATTCCGTTCCACGACCAAAGTACCGTCGTCGTTCCATTGGTGGAAGTTTCCGAAGACACCGCGTGGAAATCGGGAGAGAGTATCCCTGGTGCTGTTGCTGTGATCCTCTGTAGAATTTTGGATAAAGGAGGCGTTAGAAGTTCAAATCACTAATCCGTCTGATGATTGACTAGGATTCAGCGGCATGTGTGTGCGGGATTATCGGTGAGATGTGGAACCCAAGCCACATGGCGTATTTGTCAGGAGTTTTCCGGTTGGGGCGTTTTTCTCAGTAAATATATATATTTTTTTGTTGTGGTGAAATGCGACTGGAGAAATCTCTGGGCAGCTATGATTCCGAGAGAGCGAGAGAGGCAGACAGTGTATGCGTGTGTGTGTGTATGCGGAGAGAGAAGCCGATTGCGTGCATTTAGTGTATTGCTAATTTGTTTTGGTGACGTCGGCCAAGACGTGTTGAATCGAGTTTGAGATAGCCAGTGGCGAAGTTACCCCGCAGCAGCATTTGTCCAGTCTATCGTTAGTCGCGGAAACAATTCGATGAAATATTATTGTTCCAGAAGGTGTCCGCGTGTTTGCAAGTCGACTGATACAGACTGTCCTCTAACGTTCGAGGTAAAGGTTTTTCCTGAGAGAAAGGATCTCTTGCGATTGATGTTCGGTCGCATAGTGAGTTGAGTACCAACTACTGTTCGGCACTTAAATTTTAATTATGTCCGGAATGCGACCCCTGTCCGCCTTCCGAGAATTTTTCGATGCAGTATTGTACTGTAATTTGTTGAAGTACTGCATTGTGCTTGACATCAGTTACCGTTGTACCGTGAAGAAATCTCACAACAACTACTTTTTACTTCGATTGCTCATTTTTTCTGTCAAAAGCCCTGGACTTGGTAGTTACGAAATGCTTGTTATCGTAAGTTTCACGGTGCTTCTTCCAATAATCTACTTGACGTTGAAAACTGGGAGTTTGAAGCATACAATGCGGCTGCTTAGAATCCTAGAATTTAAACCGATTAGAAATCGTTTTGAATGATCAGTGTTGAGCACAGGTATTCTGCTCGAACATTTTCGTGAAGAACCGTCCATCTTCGACATTTGTGTAGTTTCAGAGTTGGTTCACAGTCCGTTTTCATTTATTTCATATTTTTGCATTGAGTTTGACAGAAAACATTCAATGAATTCGTCAACCTGATTTTCGAGAAGTTGACTTGACTCGTCTTGGCCGTCTCGTGAAGGAATACTAAAGAATGAATGTTGCGCAAGTTTCAGTGCCAAAAATTGAGGGGAATCGTGAGTTTTGATCTTGAATTATTCCCTGTACGATGATGGTGTCACCAATGGTTGAGTTCATTTGTTTGTTCTTCTTAATATTTGCTTTTACTTACTCTCGTGCCCCGTTCATATGCACCCCACCAGAAGATGATCAATCAGGTAATTTCAAGGTTTTTCTCGCCGAGTTGAAGTTGAGTTTCCATTTTCTGAGGGTTCTGTGTGGATCTTTTTTTTTCTCTCTCTCCATCTCAGGGCGGTTTGCTTTCGTGAAACCGATTGGGTGGCTCGTGCAGAGTGTTCGATAGTAGACTCGTCAGCCACCTTTCGAATGGTGTTTTTGTCCTCTTTTCGCTTCTTCCTCAAGTATTCAGGGGAGCTTGCCATATTATTTAATTTGCGTCGCGCATCATCGTTCAATTCGCTGGGGATTTGGCGGCACACCCGGTTTCAGTTTCCAATTTCGTCTTGCCTTCTTTGACAGCCTCTGCTGCGTTGTTCGTTACAAGGGTGGGTTTTCAGTCGATTGGCTATATCGTACATGCAATGATTGAATGCACTGTTGAATCCGCGCTCGATTATGCATTCGGGAAAGGAAATCCAGAGAATAGCGAAAGTGTTCGATGTTACGTGCATGGTGGTGATGACGATGAAGAAGAACTGGACTGAGCAATTTTTTCTTCCCGACGAAAATTTGGAAATATCTTTCATTCCCTCTTCTGGTCTACAGTTGAATGTCGGCGAACTGAAAGTTCGTTTTTGTTTTCGCTTCTTTCTCTCTCTACTTTTTTCTTCCTCCTCAAGATTGTAGCATTAATTTTTCAGGTGTTTGTTGATGTGCTGCCGGGCTCGGTGAGATGTGATCTGCTTGTCGCGAGAGTAAAGTGCGATTAATACACGTCATCGATCCTAGTTTGTTGGTGAGAATGAATTGGGTGTCACTCCGTTCCGGGATTCAGCTTGGAATGGAACAGCGACAGGAGATTTCCGTCGGCTGATGCCTAGAGTTTCTCTTTACCTGGCGAATCGTTGTCGTCCACTCCACTCCTACTTATGTTGGAAGTGAAGGAGATGAAGCGCGTGGCAGAGTGAGGAGTCGATGCCCCGACTGAAGGCCAAGGCGGACCCGCTGCCGTCGTCTGGCAAGCGGTTCTGCGGGATCTGCGGCAAGGTGTTTGAGGAGCGGAAGCGGCTGCTGCGACACGTGGCCGTGCACGATGAGACACGCGTGCGCAAGTTCGAGTGTCACATGTGCGAGCTCAAGTTTTTTGAGCAGTGTCATCTGGACAACCACCTGCGGACGCACACGGGAGAGCGGCCCTTCCGCTGTCCCGACTGCGGCAAGTCCTACACCCAGTTCTCGGCGCTCAACCGACACAGACGCAATGCGCACGCGTCACCCGTCGTGGTACTCCAGCTGCCCACGCAAGAGGTGAGACCTTACCTACAGTATTGGGTTTTGCGGCTCGTTCTAGCCATGGATCCCTCCCTTTCTTGATTCTTCCAACCTATTCAAGAGTGCATGAGCAGAATTTGCCGACGTTGATGAATGCATGGTGCAGTAATTCTGCACAAGTGTAACGGACTAATTATTCTGTGTCGTCTTGCGTCGTGTAGCTGACGTAGGAGGAATTTCTTGACTTCCCTAAATTATTTGGGATCTCTGAAGTAGAGTCAAACCTCTGCGAGTCGAATTTCTAGGGACCAGCAAAAAAATGAAATAAAAATCGACTTACAGGGGAGGGGGTTCGAGTCAAGGAAACGCGCGTTTTTGCCGAGGTGAAGACCGAAAAAGAAAAAAATTGGCAGGAAGTTGTACAGTAATTCTGAGCCTAAAATTACTTCTTAAATGAGTTGACAGGATGCTGAACTTGGAGGCGGGGCTCATTTGCCCAAGTACCGTTTTTCACTTCTCACATCGTTACACTTTTGTTTTTCTCTTTCTTGTTTCACTAAAAGAATGGACAAAAGTACCCCAGTAAATTAGAGTTATGGAGGTGAGAGAGGGGAACATTTTGACTTGGGAAGGATTTTAATGCATTGTTTCTGAGGGTTGTCAGACAGGGACTTGAAAACAAATTCGTCGTAGGAAAGGTATCTGCCTGGAGAAGGGTTCGAGTTATCTAGGTTCTGTATTCCGAACGATCGGCTGATTATACTTCGCTCATTCTGGTTGTCAATGTAATTCAATTTGTAATCCTAAAAATCTGTTGTTGATTCTAGTGGAATGAAGTTCGGTCGCAGAAGAGTGGCGGAGCGAGTGTTACTCTGGGTAAGAAGAAGCGGAAAAACGCGAGACGAAAATCGGAAATTCGGGAATTGGGGTCAACGAAACGACTCACGGGTCAGCAAGAACAGCACGTCGTGACGACCTCTGCTTCCACCATGACCATCTTGACGATGCGGGACGTGTTGGCCATGAACGGCGGCAACTTGGACCTGGGCGCTGGTTGCAATGGAGTGACGGCAAACGCATCGTCGACAACTCTTGCTGCCATGTTCGGAATGACGGATAATACCCTGAGCAGCATCGTGGGTGTTGTGGGTGCCGACGGCGTCGTGACGGCGCCAGTAACGTTTGCTGGCTCGAGAGCCGAATTCTTCCTCGACCACCACCATGATGACGACGACGACGACGTCGTCGACGTAAACGGTGGCAGCGGCGGCGGCGATGTTCTGAAGCCCGTCGTGCTGTTGGACGGCTCGTCGAATGATGCGTCCAAGGTGCGGATCCTCACAACGAGTTACGAGATGAGATTCGAGTCTGAGGAATGCTTGCTGGGGGATGTGGACGGAGACCGGCGAGTGGAAGACCTCGTGTTTCCCGTAGACGATGAGGATTACGACCTAGACGATATGAAGGATTTGAAAGACGATGGTGTTGACCCGTGCTGTCCTACTCTGTTTCCCTGAAGAGTGTGTTCATTCTATTTTTAATCCGTTTTTTCGAGTACCGCACTGTACAGTGATGTACTGTATACCTCTGGAAATGCTTGCCGTGACGACAAAACGCAAAGGGTTGGAAAAGAAACGGGAAGACTCATTTGGCCACCTTGTACTTTTCTTTCCCCCCTCCCACTTTGGTTTCTGCTGGATGTGCAAGTATGTGATGCCCCTTGATTATTGCGTTCATCATGTTCATCATCATAACTTCGTTGGCTTAATATTTGAAATAAGCTTTTCGTCTAATTTCAATAACTTTGATGAAGCGATTTTTCTCCCTACAATCGTTCTTGTGTTGGCTGCACGATGGCCTTCAAAGATATACTCGAAAGCCTTCAGAGATGGCATCTGGTGAATATAAATGCCCAACGGCGAAATGCCCCAATATTCTTGGAGATACGTTGCGGTGTTTCCGTTGGATTACTTGATGGTCTCCTGCTCATGATTGACAATTTAGTTGTTTCGTTCCAATCTTTCTACACTGCTGTGTATGTGTACATGTTTTATTTTCCAGTCTGAAGATGTCTTTCGTACACCTCTAACGTCTGGGTATTTTACCGGTTTATTGGGGAGTTCTAAGGCTGGACGATGACTACCTCTTATTTTTTGTTTGCGGATTTCAACGATTTTCAGGTGACAATTGTAAAGTTGTCGCCTATCGTTGGGGAAGAAAGTTCAGACAGCTTAGTCACTGTAGAGGGTTTCGAATGTGTGTGTGTGTTTTTTTTTTTCAAGTGGCGTCCGCGTGTCGTTTCTGTTGAATCCGTCAATCGGAAATCGATCGCTTTGGAACGAGTGCAAAACAGTTTTTCACTTTGGGAAGCTTCCAGTTGGGATGTCGAATTATTTCGGAGTCCGTTTGTTTCCTTCTTGTGTAGCAACCCTGGAATCGCTAGTGTGTGCCGCGAGGGTTGAAATGAAGGATTGTGTATTTTCAGTCGGATATCCGCGCGATTTGCGTTTGGTTATTGTGTCATGCGCATTCCTCATTTTTCCCGACACGACTCAGGATTTCATATTGTTCGAGATTTATTTTTTCTTGCGAGTGAACAGGGAACGGAACTTTCAGTTCAAGTATACTGTTTCGAATGATTCAGAATTGGCAAACTTGCCCGCACGACTGTTCAAACTCAATAGTGTTTCTCCCGCGAGATCCTCGACGAGTGTTCTTTGCGAAATCGAGGGAGAGTTGGGTTGTTTGCATCAGTTGAATGTCGGACGAGCCTCAAGCCAAGAAGCGAATCATGGACGAAGAGTTGGGGGCCCGTGTGGACATGACCCGACACCCGCATCAAAGTCAAGAAGATCTGGTGAATTTCACGGATATTTGAAATTTATCATTTTTCGTCCAGGTTTCCAGTGAACTCGAACTGATTTTTCCGTATCTTGTTGAATCCTTCAGACAGTCAATACTGTCGACGGGGAGTGGCCTTTCCCGTGGCAGAATGAACTAGCGTCGTTGAAGGCGGATCGTGATCGTCTTTCACGTGACGACGTGGAACCATCGCGAGGATCCGAGGTGAAGAAAAACGGTACGAGTCCGCCGTGCGAGCAGTTGACGAGTTCGTCTCGAGAGGACGTCGATGCTGCGAATGAAGCGGAACGAGAGGAATTTCCGAGCCTCTCGGCGTCCATGATGGGAAGGGATTCGAGGTACTGTACAGTATACTGTATCCCCGAACCGAACCATCGTCTGTTGCAAAGCTATTTGTGTATTGTATTGTGTGTGTGTGTCTCATGACTCGTTTGATTGTAGCAGAAGATCTTACCGATCGTCGTATCGGCGTTCGAGTGGGTCGAGAAATTCCAAGGGCTCTGGTCGAAGACAACAGTCCAGTCATACTCCGAATACGTTCAATGTGAGACGGATATGTGTTTTTCTCTGAAAAGTTGTCGTCACATTGGTGGTTAAACTGGGTATGCTTTCTTTTTCTTCGCGGTGCCTTCAGCAGAATCGCTTGCGGGGTCGGCGAAGAAACAACGAGGAGTGGAATGGGTATCAGTATGTTCCCCCGTCGGGCATGTCTGGCGAAGACGAGGAAGTGAAGCCGGACTTGAACGTCGTGAGTGGCTTCTCTGACGATTTTCGCAAAGTTTTTGTATTGCTATTTTGTTGTTGTCTCAACTTGTTCAGTGTGGCCCTTCGCCGTTTATTTGTAGATTTTACTGTGTTTTTCGTCTCGTAGTTGTTGAACCCCAGAGAGCCGGACTGGTCGAATCCCCGTTTTTCCACGTACAACTTGGCCGAGTTGAAGAGTGCTCGTAAGACCCTTGTGGGTTTGAACGACCCGTCGCTTTCCTTCGTGGACACGCATTGTCACCTGGACTTCTTGCTCAACAAACTGGATTGGAGCGTGTTTTCGGGATCTCTCCTGGGACAGGCGTACGAGAAGTTCAAAGCCGAGCGCGAGGAGGAATTCGGGACCCTGCACGAGGCCTGCATCACTTGCTTCACGCACCCACAGCTTTTCACGAACGTGAGTGAGACTCATTCTGATTCTGGGCTCCGGTTCATCGTTTGGGTCACTCCAGTCTTCACCCACCAAGTTGTACAAGTCTCCCGTGTATAATGTTTTGAATCAAACTACTGTATTTTGGAGGCAGAATGTGTACGTTATCTTCAGGCATTAAACGGATAATTTGAAAAATTGAATATTGAATGCTGTTGTATGCTACTGTTGGCACTGGAAAGGCATGTCTTTTTATTCAGTACTTTACTGGATAAGAAATCGTTCGAGGAATATAAAAACGTTTGATACAGCCAAGACGTGCTTGGAATCAGTAAACAGATTTACGTAAGCGTCTGAGGCTGTTTTCTCGAACTTCCAGCCCACTGGGAAATTAATGCCTAACTTCAAAGAGCGCGGGAGACTTATTGCTCACGTTGTGTGAGGAAAGATAGTCTGCGAATACTGAGAAAAGCAGAGCAGACAATGCACTGCGAAGATCAGTAAAAAATATCACTCTCTGGCCGCTTCGAAAATTCTTTGTTATTTTCGATTGACTGAAAGAAAACCGTGTTGAGTTTCGTCTGTGAGGAAGTTGGATGGATCCCTGTCAGAGTTGTATCTGCTCGGGAGAGTTCCAAGATACTGCGCTGTACAGTAAAATACTGTGCAAATGGTTCCGGAGTCCTTATCCTCGTAGAAATTTGCGATGAGAGACCAACACACTCTCTCCTCTCTGTTTTTCTGTGGAAAGATTCGTCAGATGTTGACGATCAGCGAAAATCCCTACTTTATTTTAATGGAAAGATAAAATTCCATCAAATCCTTGAGGAATCCCAGGACCAGTGTCGATGTTCTGACACTGAGTTTGTGGGTGAGTTCACACACCAACACGTGTACCGACGTTGCTTCAAAAGTGAATTTTTCTTGAATGTCAGCCGGAGTACGCAGTTCAGTTTGAAGTTTGTTTTCTTGAGTGTCTGAGTGTTTCTCCAAGTGTTTCTCAAAAATTTCGAAACCAGGAAAAATCTCTCAGCAATACCCAAGTCTGCGTGGATCATGCAGGAGAAACTGTTCGTTTGTGTTGAATTATGCTAGTAGCAAAGCGAACGAGAATCTCTGGACAAAACCAAAGCATTGATCATAAAGAAAAAAAATGGTTCGTCATTTGGTTTCTGGGTGTTGCATTATTGGATGACGCTAGAGTGTTCGTGTGCACTTGCAGCAGATTTCTATGATGAGACCTCGAAGCTGGAGTATGAAGGAAGATTAGAGAAAAGGGCCAGCCAGTTTTTTACGACTGGCTGGGCGCCAGGAGAAAAGGAACTCGTCCGAGACGTTGGCGTGGCTGGGAAAAATCTTGCAATCCCTCAGCAAAATCCACGAGGAAATCTCTCTTGGGAAATCAAGTGAAAAGGACAGAACAGCTGAAGGAGTGAGAGACGAAAGGATCATGAAAGTTTATAGGAAGAGGCGCAAATCTATATTTCCATGCCTCCGTCTTGAGCTGACTGTGTGTTCTGTAATTCGAAACTCGAGATTCGGAAATTCGTTAAATTACTGTACTCCTTCATTCATACATTTCTTGTCAAATTATTGGTGGTGCCATCGCAGCACGACTCCGCGCAGTTTTCTTAAAATGTCCATAAAATCTTGGTTGGTTCGTGCACTAGCTGTTTCCTCTTTCAATCAGTTCTGCCCTATTTAATTATTTTGTATTCCAGTCCAGCAACTGAGCAACATTTCTTGCAGTGCTCAGCTGGTGGCATCTTCTCATCAACCCCAAAACTGTTCTTTTCGTCTAACCTCTCAGGCATACGGCTCGATTCCATACATAAACTATGGAGCATGGTGGAATCTTTGGACACCTCAAGATTTATATCCAGGAACCAAAAAGGAACCACACCCCAGGCTTGTGATGGAACAAGAAAGACACAAAGTCAGTCAGATCGACCTTGCAATCTGGCCAACCCCCAGTGGAATCTGTGCACGATCCAGAGGAGAACAGAGGCTGGATGACTAGAGTCAGAAACCTAGTCAGCTCTCAGGTAAGTACTGTTGCTCAGGAATTGAAGCTCAGTCGACAATGTTGGCCCATCAGTGAACGTACTGTACTGTACCTACAAAATCTTGGAAAGGGACTTGCAAAGATTTGGGGTGGGGGAGGGCCTCTGGTGCATCTATGACCAGATGCATCCTTCTCACTCTCCAAAAGCAGAACAGTTGTGAAGAAGAAGCCTGGGAAACTACACATTTTCAACTTCAAATTAACCCAGGAAAACCATTTAGTGTCCCAAATACGTCAGTTCCATGTGCTTTTGATGTTTATTTGTGAATTGGAAGTTGTGACCAGTGCACCAGGAAAATGATGCAGAAATGGATGCATTCCCAGAAGATGCATTCAATCATTTAGATTGGCCATCTAGCACATGGCAGATCTAACTGGAAACTAAGGTACAATATTTGCTGATTTATAATCTGTCATAAAAATATGCAGAACTTCAATTTAGTCTGTCAAGGAACTACAGTGTGTTGCAGGACTGAAATAATGAGATATTTAGACATCTTGTGGAAAGTGAAAAATACAAGGGATGGTTTGTGAAAGATGATGAATGGCTACTTGCCATCATTGGAGGCGGACGCAATTTTCTCTTGTGTTCTTCAAACCTTCATTGGTGTCCTAGAAAATTTTCATGGTCTACTCAGCTGCAGAAGGAAACAAGAAAAATACCTGGGCCACACTGAATTTCTTTGACTGACGTGAAGTTTAATTGATCAAGAGCAACTGAGTGAGCACTTGCATGCTCTACAACTTTGGGGGTTACATGGTCTGAGGGCAATGGATATGTGTTTCTTGAGAATGAGATAGCCTCTTTGTGATGAAGCTCCAGGTCATGCAACTTCATGCTGACACAAAAACAAGACATGTACTTTCCAGACATTTATGATGTGTACACCAAATTTTGAAGTGGTCTCCTGGGAATACACGATAATAACTCATGCAGATTGGATTGGGCTCATCAAGTGGGGAAAGTATTTTGCAACCCAGGAAAACCCATCACAAATATTCCTTGTGTGTCAGAAAGGATACTCAACAAATGTATCCAACTTAGTGTCCACCTCCCATACTTTTTGTACCTGTACAGAAGTCACGCGTTGTGGACAGGAACAGCAAGCGTCCCATGGGGTCATGTACCCACAGGATGGGAAGAGGACACCAAAATGAATGTGTCCATATTTTCAAGCAGTAGGATGCATCCAAGGAAGACGCAGGTATTACACGTCCTTTTAGCATCCAGAATGAACTTGTCCAAAAGGTTGAAAATTGGATGCGTACAGGCCTGTACCAGGTCCTCCGCCAGTTGGTCAAATCATGGTTGCGCACTTGCCCGTTGTCAAGTGCCAGTTGGTCTAACCACCAGCCAGGGCATTCCTTGGCCTCCCCCATCCCCAGTCCACCAAACCTCAGTGAGGTCACCCAATTGTTGGAGCACCCAAACAATTGGGTGACAAGAATCATGCTGATTCTTCCTAGAATTTGGTGAGCAGAATGGTATCCTACCACAGAATATTATTTTTTTTACAAAAGTTAATCTTATAAAAAGCACAGTACAGGCCATGTTGAAGTAGGATGCAAGTGAGGTTTATTGCCAGGTGCTGGCAAGGCAGAAGCATTACATGCGTCCCTGACCTAACCTAACCTAATGTAATATTGCTGAAATTTTGAAAAAAAATCTGTGGTAGGATACCATTCTCCTCACTGAATTCTGAGAAAGAAATCAGCATGATTCTTGTCACCCAATTGTTTGGGTTCCCCAAAAATTGGGTGACCAAACCTCAGTTTTGTGGGCTGGGGATTGGCAAGGCCAGGAACTGCCCTGACTGGCGGTTGGACTGACCAGCACTTGACAACTGGCAGGTGCGCAACCATGAATTGACCGACCAGAAGCTGACCAGGCACAGTACAGGCCATGTTGAAGTAGGATGCAAGTGAGGTTTATTGCCAGGTGCTGGCAAGGCAGAAGCATTACATGCGTCCTTTCTGGATGCAACCTTGATGAAGCCCATTTTCTACCTCCTGTGATGTTGCATCAAGAAATAAATGATGTCTAAAGGGAACATTTGTGTTGATTTGAGGTTTTACCTTCATTTTTGAAATTTTTGCATTATTTGATGTGAATACAGCTTTTGTACCTTGCATGATTTGCCTGGCTAAAAAGTTTTCTACTTGAAATTCAGCCAAAAATTCATAAATGGAGTAGAATTCATTAAAAAAAAGTCTCTGAAAGGTGACTTCAAGGGCTGAAGAAAAAAGGCAACATAAGAATCCTTGCTCCAACTTTTTGTGCATGTCCTGACTTGCAACAAAAGTTGGCATAAGGATTCTTGCTTTGCCTTTTTTAGCCCTTGAAGTCCTCTTTCAGAGACTTTTTTCAAAATTGATTCAACTTCATTTTTGAATTCTCAGCATAATTTGTTGTAAACATGATTTTTTACCTTGCATAATTTGCCCAGGTAAAAAAGTTTTTTACCTTAAATTCTGCCAAAAATTCAAAAATGAAGTTGAATTCATTTTTTGGAAAGTCTCTGAAAGAGGACTTCAAGTGCTAAAAAGTAAAGTTGACAAAAATATCCTTGTTTTGACTTTTTGAGCATGTTCTGCTGACTTGCAAGAAAAGTTGAGAGATGTCAACACAGTAATCCTTGTGTCAACATGCATCAGTCACGCAAATACATCTCCAACTCATACCTAGAGCCCAAGTGTAACTCAATTTCAGGTTTCCCCCATCATTCACTTAGCTAGTTTCACTTTCGACATGGAATAAATTTCATTCAAGTATGTCAAGAGATGTTGACACATTAAATCTTGTGTCAACAGTTCTTGGTCCCACAAATACATCTATAACTCATACATAGAGTCCCAGTATAACTCAATTTGACATTTTCCCCTTCATTTACATTGCTAGCTTCAAGTTGGACATGGAAGAAATTTCATTCAAGAAGGTTGAGTAATGTTGACACATTGATCCTCATGTCAACATTTCCCAGTCACACGAATAGGTCTCCAACTCATACATAGAGTCCCACTTCAGTACTCATTTCAAAATAAAATTTTAAAAAGGCAGCAGCAAACAAGTATGTGAATGAGTGTTATACTATCATGAATGACAGTAAACCCTCATCCCACTTCCAGTATGGAATTCCATCACAAAGGACAGATTTGGAAAATCCAGACCAACCCAGACCAGTCAAAGCATGTAACCTGCAAGCTAACATGCTCATTTCCCAACCTCCCAAACCCAACAAAGCCCTTTTCCATTGGTGTGAACAGTCAGCCCACCCCTCAGAGGTGGGAAGACAGCGCATGGCACAGGAGACTCCTGCCCGGTCCCGGAACTTCTAGGTCTACTTGTGCTTTGTTTTTGATATCTTTGAAAACCAGACTATCTGATTTTGATATATTTGTGAGCCAACCTATCAAGGGGCATTCAAGCATAGTCCGCACCTGCCTCACGCAAACTATCACCAAGTTGAGTTGGGCGCTGATTATGCTCAAGCGCCCGTCAATAGGTTGGCTCACAAATATATCAAAAACAAAGTGCAAGTAGACCTGGATGTTCCAGGACTGGGCAGGAGTCTCCTGTGCAAAATGTGGTCTTCCCACCTATGAGGGGGAGTGCGTAAAACTATGGCTGGCAACACTACCCTTACTCCCTGAACAAACTATAACCAAATGAGGGCTGGGTTACAAAAAGTTGGCCAAAAAAAGTATTTCAAATTTGAAACTTTTTTCATATGTTGTACAACTGACTAAAAAGCCAGTGTGCAAAAGGAAAACGGTGTCAGGAAAAAAATGTTCAACAGCCACTCAGAGACTATGGTTGAGTGAGTTGGGCAATACTAAAAGTTGGCCAGAAAAAGTGTTGAAAAATTTACAATTTTTTATTATGTTGTGAATCTTGTCAAATTATGATGGTGTGCAAAAGAAAAATTGAAATGGAGAAGAAAGTTGGACATCAACTTTTTGGTATCCACAAGCAACTTGGTTATAGTTTGCATGAGTTGAGCGCAGACTATGCTCAAGCACCCCTTGATAGGTTGGCTGATGCAAAGTTCAAATTCACATCAAATTTTATATTTTTGTGGGGTGTGGGTTGAATTATGGCTGGCGGCTTGACCCTTACTCCCCAAACAAATTATAACCCAATGAGGGCTGGTTTACAAAAAGTTGGCCAAAAAAAGTTTTTGAAATCTGAAACTTTTTTAGTATGTTGTACAACTGACTATAAAAAGCCAGCGTGCAAAAGG